TGACAAAATCTCAATTCTGCAGCATTAACTCCATTTTTCTGGGGAGTCAGAGAGTTGATTTAGAAACCCAATGCTGACCAAGAGAATTTTGGTTAAGGTGAGAATTGCGGCTGTGTTTCTCTTTGTGAGTAGATGAAGACATGAGAGGGAGGAATGCGTTTTCTCCTGCAGGATGAGCTGTCTGGGGACAGGGCCCTTCCCTGTGATGAGGAGTCAGGGCTTTGCTCCCCCTCGTTTGGGGTTCTCCTGCTGTGCCGCAGGGTGGTCACAGCGGCCATTACGCATTGCGGCCTGTTTCCCCTGCAGCCCTTTGGCAATTCCCTGTGGGAATCCAGAGCACTGTTCTCAGGGCAGCTGTTTATCTTGTAGCCCCGACAACAAACCCCAAGAGCAAGGTAGAGGGAGGAACCCTGGGGCTCGGGGCCTGACCTCAGGGACCTGTCCTCCCCCTTGGAATTCGTAAGGCTCCTTTGGGTTACCACAGGCGGAGAAGCCCATCTATTCAGCGACATGAGCCTGCTGAGCCTGCAGGCTCTGGGAGCTCCCGGGATAGCTCATTTTAACTAGGGGTCCTGGGGATGGCTCCCCAGATCCTGTCCTGGTGGGAGGAAGTCTGATGCTTCCCGCCCGCGCTCACGGGTGCTGGGGGCCTGGGCTCCGTTCTCTCTCCTCCTCTCCTCCCCTCTTCCTCACTTCCTGAGACCAACCTTCCTGCCTCCTGATGTTCCCCTGCAAAGATGTTCATGGAGGGTCTCAGGGCAGCAGTGTCCTCAGAAGCTGGGATGGGGTGGGGGGCACTTGCATAGAATGCACTGTTTTCACTCAGGTTATAGGCTGCTGATGAGCACATCACCAGAGCTTCCGGAAGGCGTCCTCATTCACTCCTGATCCCGGTCCTTTATGACCGCTCTGTCCTTGTCTTCAGGAGCGGCTCTGGAGGACTGTAGGGCTCTTTCGGGGAAACTCATGCTGCACTCCCCCGGCCCCAGACACACCAAAGTGTTGGGGCATCAGGACGAGGTGGGGAGCAGGTCTTGGGGCATCAGGACGAGGTGAGGGAGCAAGTCTCGGGATGTCAGGATAAGGTGGGGGAGCAGGTTTTGGGGTCTCAGCATGAGGTGGAGGGAGCAGGTCTTGGGTGTCAGAAGGGGATATGGGGTGGGGAGAGAGGTCTTGGGGTGTCAGGACGAGGTGGGGGAGCAGGTGGTCCTGCCGTCAGCTGCGCTTATTCACTGTGAGTGACATGTGACGTGGGACCTTGGCCGGCTGGACGAGCAGGTGCTCTGTGTGGGAGGCTGAGAGGCCTTATTTGCAAATTCTGCCTCCTCCTGCTCAGGGTGGGGCTGAGGCTCCCCCTCCCCGAGACCTCCACTTGGGGCTTTTGAAACTCCCCCTAAGAGGAAAATGCCTTATGGGGTGGTGGGGGAGAGGTGTTCCACTAGTTGATATTGAAGGCAGGCTGACGTCTGTCCTAGGACATTTGTCAGGCTTTAGTAAAAAGTGAGCGGCCTGGGAAGGGAAAGCCCTCTTCTCATCGGTCAGTCCTGCGGTCATCCTGACAATGACAGATCATCAGCAGTGGCTGACACGGGCAGGGCCTGTGCCTGTGTCTTTGCTGTGGCACTAGGGACTGCGAGGAGCCTGCACTCTCTAGGCAACTTGCCTCAAGCATATGGAACTAAAAATGTGGCTGTCTGTAAGACAGGGTCACGCATTAGGCACACAGGGCCCTGATGACACGTCTGGTGTTTCTCTGACCTCGCTCAGAACTGGGACGTGGGTTGGAGCCTGTGGTTTTGCCATCCCCACCGTTCACCACAGCTGACTTCTGCAAGAGGAGGGGGAAACGGCTGTTACCTGGCGATCTTGTCCGTGCAGGACATGGTGACCAGCTGCTCCCCCAGCAGGACGCCGTCCCAGGTCTGGACTGCGCTGGGGCTCCGCACAGGGACCGTCCCTTCCCCAGACTCAATCTTGGTGCGCAGGTGCCCGCGGAACTTCCTGACGATGGGTCTGCTGCTGTTGACTAGGAAAGAAGAGGGCTGGTGAGAGGCGGAGGGGGTCACTGTCCAAGACACGACTGGAGTGACACTGTCTAGACTGGGGCCAGCCAATGTTCCTGCAAAGGCCAGACAGGAAACATCTTAAACCCTGTGGCTCTGCTGTCCCCATCACCACCATCCAACTCTGCCACAGAGTTGCAAAAGCAGCCTTGGCAGATATGTGGGTGAGTGATGTTGGCTGTGTTCCCCTAACACTTGATAGGGACACTGAAAGTTGAACATATAATTGGACATATAATTTTCACATGTCACAAAATAGTGTTCATTTCTCTTTTTCCATCCATCTAGAAATTTAAAAACCATGCTTAGCCTGCGGGCCATACAGAAACAGGTGGTGGGTAGGACTTGGCCGTCCCCCGGGCTAGATTTTAATCCTGGCTCTGGTGTGTACTAGCTTGTAGCCTTGGGAGAGTTGCTTAAGATCATGGTTGCTTCCTCTTAAAACGGGTATTGTAATAGTGCCTACCTCCTAGGCTGTGAGGATTGGACGAGACAGCACACAGAATGTGCTGCTATAGCCTGGAGCATCTCAGCTCTTGTTGGGTTCCCCTTAGTCCCAAGGGTCTTATGTGGCAGGTGTTGGCGAGGCCCCAAAATGATGCAGCCTATGGGCTGGTCTCTATGGGTCCCTCGCATGTTCTGTGTTCTTCTGCTTTCTTTCCTTTCCAGAGCCCTCTCGACACACACACACCCACACCCATCACACTGCACACCCCACAGTTATGTGGGGCACTGTGAACAAGCGGAAACTTAAATTTATTTTTATCCTTTCCTTAAAAAAATTCTGTGTAAGTCTGGATTATATTGCAATATAGAAATGGTTAACTGCTTTGTATATAAATTATACATATAAAATAGTGTAGTGATTCCAACATTTATATGCCTATGATGGCATAAATAAATATTAAGTGCTTTTTTTTTTTTTGTCTTTTTTCGTGTCCGGCAACGGATCACAACCCTCAGTGTCGCGCCCGTACCGGACCGGGACCGGCAACGGGATCGCAACCCTCGGTGTTGCGCCCGCACCTCGCTCAGCCAGTGAGCGGGAACCGGTCTGTATGTGGGATCCGAACCCTCGGCGGGAGCGCCACCGTGCTCCCAAGCTGCGCACTGTAGCAGTGCGCCACCGGGCCGGCCCTTAACTGCTTTCTTTAAAAAGTTTCTATTTAAGTTTTAGAAGTTGTGGAAATGGAACTGCTCCCTCACTTACCCTCCTTGTAGGTGCTAAATAGTAACTAACTCTTGGGTTCACATGGAAACTTTCTCCCACACATCTCTAAGTAATTTCCAGTATATGTTCTCATTGTTTCTAAGAGCTGAAGTGTTTTGCTATACATTCATAGTACCTAAGGGCTCTCTCCTGGGGAGAAAGATTGTTGCATTCTTTGGAGAAAGTAAACTTTTGAGAGGTTTCAGATAGCTTTTTTACCCTGCAACCAACCAGATACTTGATGAGCTCTAATTTGGACTGGCCCATGAGTCAACCATGTAAGGGAGAACCAAGGACAGAGACCGAGCCTATGTGGACACAGAGAACAAACACCCAGCCCTCCCCCAGGTAGAGTGCAAGACTCTTCTTTGCAGCTTTAAATGGTACTGGGAATCAGGTGACAATGATGATGATGATGATTGTGAAGATGGTGATGACGATGGTGATGGTGATGGTGACAGTAATGGCAGTGATGGTGGTGATGATGTTGATGATAGTGAAGGTGATGGTAAAGGTGATGATGATGATGGTGATTATGGTGAGGTGATGACGATGTTGATAATGGTGGTGATGATGATGATTGTGATGATGATGGTGATGACAATATTGATGGTGATGGTGATGGTGGTGGTTATGTTGATGGTGGTGATGACAATGATGATGATGATAGTGATTATAGTGACAATGATGATGATGACGATGATTATGAAGATGGTGATGATGGTGAGGTGATGGTGGTGATGATGATGGTGGTGATGATGATGGTGATGATGATGGTGATGATGTTGATAATGGTGATGGTGGTGGTGGTGATGATGGTGATGTTGATAATGGTGGTGATGGTGATGACGGTGATGTTGATGGTGATAATGGTGATGGTGATGATGACAATGATGATGATGGTACTGATTATGGTGACAATAATGATGATGATGATGATAAACTGAACGCAAAATTGTTCATATAACTCAAACACACTAGAACAAATCCTTGGTTAAACCTGACTTTTTACACTGTCCAGGTGGGGTCCTTCTCGGCAACAACTTTCTGCGGCAATTAGCACTGGGAGAGTGAAAAAGCCAGAGCACCTAGCAGTCTCCACAATGTTCGAAACTTTACTCTTCCATTTGGGGGATTTTTTCTCAGGGAATATGGTACTTGCTGTCCCACTATGTCTGATAGTCATAGTGTCCTTTTATTCTCCTGACACTTCAACTATTGTATTCACCTCAAAAGTTGCCTACTATATTGCAAGGCCTTTCTAAATTCTTAGCTGTTGCCAGTGCAAACAACTTTCCATGAAGTAGACTTTATAGTTTGTTAATGCCATGACAACGGGGAGGCCTGCCTTGAATTAATAACTGGTTTCCTGGAGTTAAGCCAAGGTTTTCAGGTTAGGTTAGTTCTCCCTCAAGAGCCAGGTGCATGAGACTCTCCCACGGGCATCTGTTTTTGGAGGAGCTAAGTCTCAGGCTGCTTCCAGCCTGCTCCCTGATGTGTCTGCATGTCCGAGACCTTGTAGAGACCATTTCTCTGGCTGTTTCTTAGCTAATTGTGAGAGGCAGGAGGAAGCTGAAGATGCCCCTTCAAGCAGAACAGAATGCCAACCCAGCCAGCAATTGCAGGGAACTGAGCTCAAAGAACCTGTAATGGATTTATAGTGTGCCCAAGATGGTGGAAGTGTGAAAAGCGAAAGTCCTGCCTGCCTTGTACACGCAACACTCCCAAATCCATCGGAATGTTCTGACACAGTTATGGTATTTTGAGTCATCAGACACTTCATTATGGTGTTTGTTAATCTAAAAACCTCACCTTTCAAGAGTGATGTCAAGGTAAAGCGAGGGTAGTAATATGCTTCAGAAAGTTGTTCCAGTGAGTACTTGATTTTTAGGGGAGAATCAAAAGGAGATGGAGCTAAAAGACAATTAAAGAAATCCACCCTCTAGGGAGCTAAAGATTTATCTAAAAAGTGATTCATGGTTGGTACAATGGTGTGGGGAGAATGGCAAAAAACAAAGGTATAAGAAAGGAAGAAAGTATTTTTAAACACCAAATAAACTTAAAAATTTCAAACTGTCTTCCAAAGGCATGTCCCAGAAGGTGTACCTATGAAGCAAGTCACTATTTATTGTCATAATATACTATGTATAGTATTTACCATGCAGTCATGTGGGTGACCTTCACCTTATTTGATGATAATGATAACAATTATGATGAGGTTAAAATTCATTATCCTAGAATGCACTAATGTTAGTGTGTATTGCATGTTTCTGTAACTCAGAAGGAAAATCTGAAGACGTGAGGTTAAGAAATTGTATTTTAGATGCTCTGACTTCCTACGGGATTTTGGTTCATTCTCTTGAACTGCCCTTCTGTACAATGAATGGAATTGTCTTAGAATGAACATATATGTGTAGATAAATATATGATATGATCCTGATATTTTCCTTGGCATCTTGTGGGAGATAGACTGGGGAATTTAACTAAGTTGTTAAATTCTCAGAAAATGGCAGTAAGAACTGAGTTTACTGGATTACTCAAACACCATGCCCAGACAGCAATCTGTGGTGGAGTCGTCGGTGAGGTGGGAGGACACAGGTGGCTCAGCCACAGTGGAGTTCCCGATGCTCATAGTCTTCTCTTATGTGTAGGCTCTCATCAGAGCCGCTGTGGCTCTAGCACAGGCCTCCCAGAGCCACTGAGGAGGTGCAATCATCCACTGTGAGTCTAGAGGGAGCCTTGTGCCCTTGAGCTGCTAAGAACAGTCATCAGAACCCAGACTATGACCTAGAAACAAGCAGCACATTCTCCTGGTTGTGTGAAGACATGTCCTCTAGGTCCAGGACAAAGTCACAGGTTCAGCAGTTTGAGTTATCTGATGTGGATGGAACAGCTCTGGGTTGAGTGAGATCAAAGCCCTCAGTCTGCAGAGCTTCTCATGGAAGGAACTTCCTCTCCCAGTGCATGTGATGCACCAGTAGAAGCTTTTCCACCTGCCCACCAGGCTGTGGGTCAGGGAGTCCTTCCACCAAGCTCAGCCTGACCATTGCAGACTCTCTGCCAGACCATCTTCTCCTCAAAGAGCTTTCAACTAAGTCAGCAAGGAAACACATGCCAGTGTGGACAGGAGACCATTCAAGGAGGTTCCAACCCAGTGGCTGGAAACATGACTGATGCTCAGAGATCTCCAGACCCCTGGACGCCACCCCACCCCTGAGGCATCTGTCCAAGAGTGTGTGGCAGGATCCTGCATTATAAGAACTTCTCTGGTGGTCCTGATAGATAAGCTGGGTGTGGAAACAACCAAATCTAATACATTCTTAAGCCCACAGGCAACATCTCTCACAGTCTCTTGGACCAATTGGTGCTGATGCCATATTTAAAGACTCCAGGGGTAGAGCATTTACGATCTATCCAGATGAATGTTTCTGAGAAAAAATAAACTTGGGGAATATAGACCTTCTGGAGCCACACGCATCCCAGGGAAGTGGGGCCACCTGGGCCTTGTGCTTCTCTTAGCCTCAGAACCCCTGAGCCTGGGCCTCAGGAAGCTTGGATCATCTGGCTGACTTGACTTGGGAGATCAGAGGATTCGAGCTGTCAGGACAGAGAGGTTCCTGTGGGAGGTGGTTACTCTGTGGCTGGTGGGCAGTCAGAAGTTCGATCCTGGAAACCCCAAGTCAGGCTCGGCCCCTCATTGGCCTTGTGGTTTTGTGATACTTGCTTTAATGATTGTTTGAAACTGTCTACAGAATGTTCTTCTGTTCCTTCATTCTTTAAAGGAAGGGGGAACATCTAGGCTGTCTGTCCAAGTTTCCAGACTTCTCTTTAATTTAGTCATGTCATAGCTCTGTTTGTAGATCCTGATGCATCAGACACCTGCTGAATGCTTGTGTGTGCACGTGTGCTCATGCACAGGTGTGTGTGTGTGTGCAGGTGTGCTTATGCATGCGTGTGTTTGTGTGTGCACATGTGCACTCATGCATGTGTGTGTCTCTGTGTGCATATGTGCTCATGCACAGGTGTGCGTTTGTATGTGCAGGTGTGTACTCATGTGCACATGTGTGCTCATGCACACACGTGTGTGTGTGCAGCTGTGCTTATGCCTGTGTGTGCACATATCTGCTCCTGTACATGTGTGGATGTTTTTGTGTGTGTGGGCTTGCCCTCGGGTGTATGTGTGTGAGAGAGAGAGAACTCTGGCAGAGCTGCGGGTGGATAGAGAGGTTGGCGCACTGCAGGCCCCGTATGGAGACACACAACTTCTCCATGCAGAACAAATGATGGGGGGAGAAGAAAATGAGCTGGTGTGATCAGGACTAGGCAGGGCAAGGAGCTGGGGAGAGGAGACAGGGCAGCTCCAGAGTGGGCCGGGCAGTGGAGAGAGCCTCAGAGGACCGAGAACGGCAGTCCTTTGGGACCAGCTCCTTATACCCCTAATGAAGATCTCAGTGGCGTGGACCAAGCCTGCCTGAGCTGTGCGGTCTCTGCACGTATGAGCAAATGACATTGCAGTGACCTTCGGGGGACATTTGGGAGAGTGACTGCCAAGCTGGTGGCGCACTAAAACTAGATTTCTACAGGGCTGACCTCCAGGAATGGTCCTAGATGATGTCTTCCCAGCCCCTGCTGCTCGTCTTTCCTGCAGGGGCTTGTCACCCTCAACTCTGCCTTCTGGCTGGCCCTGCAGGAGCCCTCAAAGCAATGGCCTGGTCACTTGTGTTCCCTTATTCAGTGGTCCAACCCTCCTTAAAGGATAGCAAAGAAAGACACCGCATGAGCAAGTGACACGGGGCGCTCCCACCCCTCACTGTAGAGGTGCTGAGCGAGTCCCTCTCCGATGGAGACGGCGGAAGTTGTCCCTGAGAGTTTCTGCTTCCTCAGGGGTGTGAGGGTGCACAGCTGTCCCTCGAAGGCTCCTGCTGAGCAGAGGACAGTGGGAATTTGGGTTTTCTTGCCTCTACCGAGTGAGGAAGGGAACAGCGATGCATGACTTTGGCTGGTGAGTCCACGTTGGAACTCGCCAGGTGCCTGCCTCCTCCGCGCTCGCAGGGACAGCGTCTGACCTGGAGGCACAGCGCAGGCAGGAGCATCCCACCTTTTCCTGGCACATCCACAACAAAATGTGAGGAAAAGCCTTTGTTTTTTTTTTTCTACCAGCACTGGCCACTTCTTAAAAGCACAGTGAAATAAGAGACATCTGTGTCTGGAAGTGAACCCCAGGGTGCCTTGAGAATGCATTTGTTTGTTTTTCTAAACCACCGACATTGCAAGCTGGAATGAAGGGCTGGAGAGGCCGCAGTTGGTGCTTGATGTGAGAAGCCAATGAGCTAGAACTGTCCCCTGGGGAGACCAGTGGGACTCAGGCGTGGCCGAGGCTCCCGTGGTTCACACTCAGCCCTCTTCCGACTCCCACTGGGGACACATCAGGCAAGGAAAGAGATGGATGAATTAGGCTGCTGGCCCCAACGTTTTGCGGGGCTTTTCCTCCCGGAGTCTGAGGGCTTCTAGGCCGGGTCTTCATGATGCCAAACCTTCTGAGAGAAAATGGAAACATAATTCCCAGCAGCTGTCTAAGGGACCAAATTTCACAATTTTACAGAATGAGTTGGTATCACGAAAACCTAGCTTGAGGAACGTTTCTGAGGAAAAAGAATCAGTGCACGTGTTTCCCGTCTTTCTTTTTCCTTCGGGAGCTGTGTGGGGTGGAGGGGTGCCCTCCATGACCTCACTGGGGGCCACTTTGCTCTGGGGAGGGCCGTGTCCACTGCCCATGTGGCCCAGGCCACCCAGCCTCTCCCTCCTGGGGCAGCTCTTTCAAAGGAGCCTGATATTTAATGGGTTCCCTTTCGTTGATTCTCAATTCAACTCAAGTCTCCCTTTACTTCTCAAAGCGTGTAGAATGTCACTGAGAGCTCTTCTACTGGGGACTCCACCAGCCGCTCTTCAAAGGGGAAAGAGATTAGATTGGTGGAAAGTCGGCAAAAGGGAGAATGAACTTCCCTGGACCAGCATCCGGTCTGTGGGTCAGAGAAATGGACTAAGTGCATGTGGGGTTAAGACACTATTTTCCCCGTACCTTCTTTATCTGGAGGCATTCATCACAAGCCTGGAACACAGCAGGCACTCAATAAGTGCTTATTTCCCTTACTTTGGTAGTTAGAACACAATGTAGCCTTCCGCAGGCAGAAAATGAGAAGGCCAAAACCAAACTTTTAATAGCTGTGCACTGTCTGCCGTTCTTCTGCTGGGGATTTCCTCTGAGCAGAAGAATAAGCCTTTGGGTGTTTCAACATCTTTGTAGGGCCAGATCCCTCATTGTAAACATGTACTTAATATCACTGCCTATGTTGGGAAGGTTTGCCTGGGACTGCTTCTGGAAAGGGTTTGGAAGAGACAGAGACAGAGAGAGAGAGAGAGAGAGAGAGAGAGAGAGAGAAGAGACAGAGACAGAGAGAGAGAGAGAGAGAGAGAGAGAGAGAGAGAGAACATATATACATACACACATGCATGTGTAATATACATGCACATAGCACCAACAATAGAACTTCATGATGGCACTGAAGGAGAGGAGGAGTTAGCCCTGAACACTTTTTCTTTTATTGTGGAGATACTGATGCCTTTGGTGACACCAAAGCAGGGACTCGTCCTCCAACCCTGGACCACTCAGAGTACCACTCTGTTCTGCTGGTGATGGCCGAGAGGGGCCGTCACAGATGCTTTCTGTCCCTCCTCTCCACCAGTGAATGCCAGCAGGGCAGGTCCTGCTGAGGGCTCACCAGTGGAACTTGGTTGTTAACCTGAGGATACACCTTTGCCGGGCATTGCTTGCCACTGGCTTTGTTACCAAAGGTGAGTTTTGTTCCCAAAGTTGCAAACACGGGCAGACAGAGCCAGTGTGGATTTGCTCAGCCCATGTAACTCTCTGTCTCTTTCCTTCCATTTTCCAGCCTGGGATATAGGGACTGTCTGGCCTGTTAAAATAAAGCAGAGAACTAGGCGATAAAATAGCTAATCTCAGACCTCAGACTACTTTTCTGCCAGTGATCTGTGCATTTCAGACTAAGATGTTGGAGGTGTGATTGTCCAGCTAACAGCAGGTGCAATCGGCTC